CTTCCTGATGAGGATTTTGTATCTAAAATACATGTTGGAGGCATGAAATGATCTCTAGTGAATTTAAATGATCAGTGAAATCAAATTGATCAAAACCAAAGAAGGTGAAGGTGAAACAATATAATTATGTCATCAATTCCAAGGAAGGTGGAGCTACTCTTCTCTTGTAGAATTTTAACCTATCCTTCCAATCCCTACTGCGAAAACGTGCTGCTTATGTTTAGTCATTAATATCAAGTTGACTAATCAATTTAATGACAAATATCCTTTATGAAATATTCTTATACCAGATCAAATCTGTAGTTTTTCAACTGAAATAGTGTGCCAATGTTTCAGTCGTATCAATACAACTTTATTCACTGTTAAAGCGAGGATATTAGCCACAAGAGTCATAAATATAGAGAAGCATCTTGTATATATATAACGAAATTAGAATTTGTTCAGTCTAAATAGTAAATCATTCACATTTCTTGCTTTCTAACTAGCATTATGGGAATGCAGTTAGGAAAATAAACCCTGGCTTTTGTACACAAAATCAATATCAGTGCGTGTTTATCTGGTCAAATTTATTTGTTTAATTATTTGTGTTTTGTCTCTAATTCCCTTAGTGCCGTTTAACAATCCCCTACAGAAAACAGTTGGGTGTATTATAAATGCATCAGCAGACATGTTTAATTGGTAGTATTTTGTCGTCAATATCATAATATTAAAAAAGAAATTCAGGACAAATCACTTTGGCTTTAGTATCTTAAAGCATCAGCTGAACAGTGAAGTAAGTTGTAAAATCCAATTCAATTAAGTACAGAGAAATATCATTTAACTAGTTAAATAAAGAGCGAAACACTTAAAGACATAATACTCTTTGTATAAAATACAGAACATGAATATGTGCATCTTTATTTCATTGGTACCGTCATTTGGTCGTCAAAGTTATTGATAGCTGAACTTAATTAAATGCATGATAATCTTGACTTGTTTAAATTAATGAAGACATGTTTAACCAGCCCTGTAATTATACCACTGCTCAATTTTCAGTTTTTATCTGATCTGTGCGTGTTTTGATCCCTATCAGGGCGGTGGTATTTGTTTTGCATGAAATCTGATCCAAAGCAATAAAAGAAGGAAGGCTGGATAATGATCAATTGTCACATTTTAACTGGTTATCAAGTCTTTAACTTAAATGCGTGAAGTGTGCCGACAGTTTAACTTGTTGCTTGTATTAAATTTTTTATCACTCTATTCTGTTGTCATCTTCAAATGTTAATAAATGAAGTAAAAATCGAATATAACATGGGAGTCAAGAAAAGATATTTATGAAGAGCTAGAACACAAGAACATTTGTAGAACAATACACAAATTTATCATTTCATGTATGTCAGCCATTAATGTCAAATGAGAATAAATGAATAAAAAAATCCTTAAATTTATCCATGAGAAATCTATGATAGGATGAATCACTGTCAGCTCCTAAACTGTAAAAATGAAAGCTGTTCATATAAATGTAAAGGTTACAAAAAATATGTGTTAAATTTCTTGTAATTTGGTACAGAAATTAAGCTTCATAAAATCGTCAGAATTGCAGAAAGAAACTTCAATCAAGTAAAATGTCAAATGTCCAATTTACTCTTCAACCTGACAATTCAAGTGTCGTAAAAAATTACCTCTTGATTGATTTTAAATTTGAAACGTCTTAGATTTTATTGATATTTATCACAATTTAATTCAACCAGAAACAGCAGAACATCTTTAAATTGACTGAAATTGCTTACTTATTAGAATGTAGTGTGTTAAAATTTGAAACTTGTTGGCAGCATTCAAAAATAACTGTCAAACGAATTTAGGCAAAGCTTGTTCAGTTTATAAATTGTTTCATCTAAATTTGACTCGAGAATAATTATTCCTTACATAAGTTAAAGGAATAATCAAGTTCAGGAATTTAACAATATTGGCTTTTCAGTTAATATTTGGGGCTGGTTTGAAATCTTAAAGATATGGAGAACAGCTGTTGAACTGGAGGTAACTTTGTCAACATTGAATTTGATTGGCCAAATCTTTCGAGATGGAAATCAAACCTAGATCAAACTGCTGTATTTAACATCATCAAAGTCGGCCAAAGCATTTGTCAACATGTCTGGATCTCTATTGCCTTTATGGGATACTGGACAGATGTTGACAAAAGTCTCATATGCCTTGAAGCAGGTTTTGTTTTTTCCAAAAAATTCTCTAAAACACGAATGTCACATTTAATTTCCTTTTAGTATGAATATTATTGGTTCATTTGTTGTCTGCTGGAAACACACGTCTTAGAATGTTACAGTCAGATAGAAAGGTCGTCAGGGACAACCAGAAACGGTTATATTTGTTTAAGTGATTGGAAACATGGAAACATAACAGTTGAATTACGAGTAGAAACTGGATAATTGTTAGTTTGAATTTGAAATTATTGACCATAGAAAAGTCTCTATGACCCATTATTGAATTAATTGACTAATATCCAGACAGTTTTAAAGGAAATGTGTCGAGACAGTTAATGTTTCCATGTTAATTTAATTGTCTCGCCCCGTTTCACCGCCTGGTCAGCGCCATATTGAACTGGCTTAATGCATTCTGTGACCCTCGATTCTGGAACTGGAATAAATTATTCTGGAATCTATTCACTAGAATGAAAACTCTCGAGAATTGACAGGAACTCTTGATATTCAAATTTCACTCATAAATATCATATTTAGTCTAGGTCATTGTAAAAACCAATCATTGTTTTACTGTTGTCATCTTATTGAAACACCAGACATCATTTAACTTTGGGTTATATGCATGTGACTGGTATAAACAGGGTTCAATTTAGATTGCACAAAAATTAATTAGCTACAGATTGCACCAATTTTGATATACCTAATTATGATAGGTCAACTGACCACTGGTGTACTATGTTTATAGAAACACTAGGAATGACCCAATAAGGAAAATAACTGCGTTTCCACTGGGAATTGTTAAGTAAAGCCAGCTTTTTTTGCCCAACATACTGCACCAAACTGACTCTAACAGGTTACCTTTGTAGACTTGTCAGCTTCCTTGATAATCTTATTGAATACTTCTATTGGCATTTAATTGGCCAATAGATTTTAATCTAGACAGCCCATAGGGACTGGAGATAATGATCTAGGTACCCCACAGGGACCTGAGATATTTAGCCCTGAAGTTAGCAGCAGTTAATATGATAATGTGAAAGTTAATCAGGCCCCTGAGTAGAATTTAAAATCAGATACAAGATTTCACTGTTAAGATCTTGTCATTCTTCAGACTAAATTATCCCCCGAGAAATTTAAATTTTGTCAAGAAATTTATCTCTGGGTTTATCAATGACCTTCATCTTCACACCTTTCAGGTTTCTGCAAGTCTTTCAGTTACTTGTTTCATTCAGGAAATTTGAAACATTTACTTGAAATTGGAAAATTGCAAAAACCCTTGAAAGGCTGGAAGATCATTGGCGTACCACGTAGATTTACCTTTTTGAGGCCTTCCTAGTCTGAAGCTCATCCCATGTTGTTGCCATACGTTTCAGATACACAATCCTCACCAAGATGACTTTTGCAAATGCATGATAGGTTTCCAAAATTAGACTGAAAGGACAATGAGGAAATTTATCAAGCAATGTGAGTCATTTAATGGAAAAATAACAAGCAAACTCAGATAATTCGAGGACAATAGCAAGTGAACTATTTGTCTGTCAGTTTTGAAACTTGCTAGGAATTTGTTGTGTTTATTTGAACTGTAACAGAGATAGTAAATAAATCTGGAGGAACGAGATCATGTGACATTTGATGATAAATAAAGTTCGATACAGTGTCTCGTTTATGTAAATTAACCTTTCAGATAATTAGGCACTGGTTACCTTTCATTTCTTTCATAAATAATCAAAAAAGTTACTATCTGTAGGGGTTAGAGGTATATCAGCGGTTAAAGAAATATTTCGATGACTGTATCCCTTGAAAGTAGAGTTCATTTGTAGATTGCTCTTGAAGTCTAAGAGCGTAGTATTTCATAGGTTGCTTTGACAGTAAAAGAGAAATCAGAAGATGAAACCAAGTACTACAAATTTAAAAGTATGTTTTTACGATTAACTAGATTTGTTATTATGAAGTCTTTTCAGTAACAATCTTTGGCCTTTCAAATATACATCAATGTTCAACCATCAGGATCACTCACAACTTAGAAGGTTAAAAATCAATGCACTATCAGTCCACAAATTTAGAAAAAATGTACTTCCCCAGATTCTTACAAGGGCTAACCTTCTGTTGCCATAACTGGCATGTTCATCAATAATTTTGTACAATGTGACCAGTTCATCGATTTTAACTCAAGAGACTTCCATTGTCTGGAAATTGTACAAGAAAAACATTGATTTTTTGGTGCCATTTAGTGGAAATTAAAGACAAATTACTACTCTTAACGTCACAACTCAATGGTTGGTTAAAATATGTCGCAATTTCTCAAAGTTATTAAGTAGAAATTAAACTTGTATAATATATATTGAAAAAATAACAAATGGTATTTTTATGTTGTTTTATTAGTTAGAGGTTAACAGGCACAAATCTCTAACTTTTATAAACTTTGCAAGTTAAAGAAATTTCTTCCAAGTGTCTTGCAGTTTTGAAATTCTTTTGAAATAAAAGGCTTAAATTATAAAAACTCACGATAAAATGTTTATTACAGGAATTACATTGAAGTGCTTCAATTTTGACAAAGTAAAAATAAAACATCAATTAATTCATTTCTCTTGTAACTTTTGATTTATGAATTAGAAAATAAAAGCCATAACTATTTTTATTTTTGTGTTGGTGTGAATGGAATCATTGAATTCTGAATCAAATCGACCTTCTTAGAAGTTGGCTTTTATATTTTTCTCTGTTCATGGAAGGATATATCACCATAAAGATTGAGAATTGCCCAAAATTCTATACCTTTGGTCCAATAATCTGTTTTTCTCTTTTTTTTTTCAGAATGAACTATCCCAGAATTTACAATCTTTATCAGAAAAAGCCAAATCAGGAACAGAATTTATACAGAGATTAAAAACAATGGCTGAAAAAATAAATGTAAGTTATAAAAATATTTTGGTGGATTGTCATTTATATTTGACAATTGTTTGTTAGTAGACAGAAGACGTTAAAGCTGTGTTTCCCAACAGTTTGAACTTTATATATATCCCCTAACTTCGATACACTATCTCTTAGTACCTATCATCCACAACAAGAACGAAATTGCTCAAGAGCCAGAGACCAAGACAAAGACATATTCCAACCATTCATTCCTACTGTTTGTATTAACAACAGATATCATGTAACACTGGGTTATTTTGTAGATGGTGGTCATTTGTTGTACTAATGTCTGTTTATAAAAACACAACACATCACATCACCTAACTCTAGGTTATATTCTACATACTGATCAACTGCTGTATTACGTCTGTACCTATCTGTAGGTTAAAGGATGGTCCACTGTTGCACCATTGCCTGTTGAGATGGTGCTCCACTTTTAGCTCTTTATGACAATACATTTGAAGTTTAAATCTAATGAAATCATTGAAAATTAACGAGACCTCAGTTTTTTTCTGGCCTCTGGTCCTTGATTCATATTGCTAATATTCCCCCTGGAAAAAATTGTCTGTTCTGTTCCGAGCTGTCAGGATGAAATTATGATATTAATGGCGTCTCACTGGCGCCAAGATTCTAATTTACTGGTGATAAACTGTACCCATTGGATATTTGTTTCAGTAGTAAATTTGCCCATAGAATATTGGTAGAATAGCTTCAGACTGTTTAGAACATTTTGGTACTTATAGTTCCAACGTTAGTGCTGTACTAAAAACAAGTTTGAAATATAGTCCAGCTGGATAAGAAATAATTAAGCAGCCATGGTCCAGGGTGTCTTTCAGTGGTTCACATCGTCGTGATATAAAATATAAATCAACAGCCCAGCACCAGTTGTTTCCCCATGGTTAACATTGTTTGAAAGTTATTGCACAAGGCGCCATTTGTCTCATCACAGACGACAGAAAGAGACCTGTGAAGTCTGTGTCATAATTAATATCTGATTTATCAACTGAGCAGTCCCAGAGAGTTTTCTCAGGGATAAAATTGATTACTTAATGAAATTCATTAGAGATGTCATATTAAATCAAAATCTGGGTTGGTTTTCATTTGTTTTTTTTTTTGTTTGTGTTACGATGACCATTGTAAAACCAAAGTCACATCTAATTCTAAATGATAGATTTATTGCTGTCTCTGTTCGTTTTGTGAACCAATATTCTTCTCTGTTCTATTAAATGGGCTTATTTCCAAAATGTCCACATTAAATCAAAATATTGGGTTCATATTTGTTTGAACAAATAATCTCATACAATCAGAAACTGGCTTATTGACATATTGCTTATGTTTTAAATTTTGCTATTAATTTTTTTTCATAATCTTGATTTTTAATACTTGGCCGATTCATTGTTTTTACATTTTAAGATGTTTTGGGACAGAATGTAAAGATATTTCATCTGGTATGGGTGGGCTCCTATAATCATATATTTTTATCTGAGAATTAACAGGTAATATTAGTCAGAATGATAAGATTAATGAAAAACATGATATAAAGCAATAATTTTTATCTATCACAAATTTATGTTGGTGATAAAACTTTGTTAATTATTGATAATATAGATTTAAAGCTAGATTTTCACATTTATTCGAATGATAACTATTTACTTTTAAAGGGATTGTAAAGAAAACCTCTTTTATACAACCCCTTAAAATAGTGTATAGTAAATTAATTTTGGGGTATTTCTTATTGTAGCTTCCACACAACAAAGTTTTATCCTTGATTTTGATTAGATATACCAAATCTAGATTGTCAGAATATAGCCTATAAGTTTCTATAAGGACATGCTCACCATTTTAAAACCTGATGCCACTCTGTAACTAGGTTTGCAACATTTTCAGAGAGTCCACATAATCAATATCGTTATTTTGGATTATCACTGACTATATGGTCTATGGGCTTAAATCATTCTCTTTATGGATAGTCTTGCATATGTATATCCATATCCATTTCTGTATTAAGGGTTCAGTAAGTTTGAGTTTAAAATAAAAGTTGTGTATTTGCCTCCCTAGTCCACATAAAAAGCTTAGAAATAATGATTTTGTTAGGTTAAAAAGTACAGACAATTTGTGAACTTCCTGTTTTTTAGCACAATATTGAGTTTTATAATAAAAACAGAAGTTAAAAGCTTGAGTAGATTCCTAAAAAAAATATCTTGAAATTTTCATTTGTGAGCACGTGGACAAGATTTTGATAAATTATTAAAGGTGCAATTTAGAAGACAAAATCTAAGGACCAATTTCTACATTGCAATCATTCTTTAGAAGATATAACTCAGAGTAAGGTGATAACTGGTGGTTTAAACAGACAAGAGTACAATATAGGAGATCACTTCTAGAATATGACCCAGATTTAGGTGATATCTAGTGTTTTTATAAGCACTAATCTTGTAATAATTCTCTTCGTTTTTTCAGGGTAACTGCAGTGAATTTGAAGCTACAGTCATTGCTCAATGTGATGCTCTAATTGAAAGAATAAAACTACGTAAAGTTGAACTATTGGCTAGTGTAAAAGAAGAAAAGGACATGAAGACAGTGACTATGAAAGAACAAGTGTCTGATTGTACAAGTCTACTACAGCGTACAACTGGATTGTTACAGTTTTGTATCGAAGTTTTAAAAGAGAGCAACCAATCATCTTTTCTACAGGTAGGTCAAGGGCATTTAACATGGATAAAAGGTCAAAACACATAGTTGGTCAAATGATAATATACCCTTTAGATCCATGCCTCATTTTCATAGACAGATTCTTAGACCTATATCCTATACCCTTTTAAGCACTTTAATTATCTTTGTGCAATAATTTTCAATCAAGTAGTTATCTATTAAAGAAACATGGCAAATGTTAAAAATGTAAAATTTATTAGAATTTCCTCAGATATTTAGTATACTAATGCTATTATAATATTACAACATTGCCTTCAATTATTACAACCATTCCAATATCTGACCTCTCAGTTGTTACACCAATTTCAGTATTTCCACTACCAGCCTGATTTTTATACCCCAGATTTTAACTTCCACTTTAATTGATAAGATTACAGGATTTGAGAGAAATTGAAATGAATTTGTGAAATATTAGATTGACCTGAAGTCTTTGTTTCTGACCCGGCAACTCAAATTATTCGTCAAGTCTGTAATTAGTGTTGTCATCTTAGCGACGTCATGACAACTATTCTAACTGACATGACATCACTTTGTTACAATTTACTTCCTAATGTGTTTCCGTGGTGATTAAAATTTTACTCCTAGTTAGTATTAAATTTGATTAATCAGAGCCAAGATTCTTTAATTTTTACTGAAACTGATACAAATCTGACAACTTGAGCATCTTGGGATTCAAACCACAAATATTACCATAGTTGTTGCAAGCTCATGGGAAAACCATACCATTTTCAGTTTGCCTCTCAGTTTTGGTTTAATCATGAGATATTTTAGGATGTGTGATTTTTTTCAGTCATATATTGGTTCTGGCTATCTTTGAATTTTAACAGCTTATGTCAAAATAGTATCTAAAGATTTTTTATAATTTGGTTAACCCTGTGAGAGATGCAGTTTGGAGGGGCTGATATGATAAAAGTGTCCAGTCATTCATATTGAACATTAAATTTGATAGAGTTTTATGTCTGTCAAATATGGCCAAATCAACAGCTCTGCAATAAACAGATGCTTTGTGTGCTACTACTTATGCATGTAAAGGATCCATGAGAGTTAAATAACATTCAGTACAAATAGATCAGCTCTTTGTTAAATAAAAGATTTGAAGACATTATCTCTTTAAATACCTTATGCTATAATATAATATTATATTATTCAAGCTACTGAGTTTGATATGGTACTAAACTGTCCAATATTACATTAAAACTTTTAGATTCATGATTTATAGTCATGTCTTCAGTGAAGTAGAAAATTATATTTCCTTGAACATTATCTTTACATTAAAAACTACATTATCTTTTTTTTTGCTTTATTCAGAACTGAGGCATAATAACCTGTCTCAGAGGGTAGGGCAGTAATTTAGGTCAACACTGATGGGAGTAGGGTAATTAAACCAAATCAACCCAGGGCAAGAAATTAGGTTGATGAAGGGGTGGAAAAGTAATTTGGAATAAAAAATGAATAATTTTTCACAATGGGTGAGCTATAAGTGGTTAATAAATTATAAAAAAGTATGCCATCTATAAGCTTAATGTTGGTGTTTAAAAAAAGATGTAATAATAATGCTAAACCAAGCTTCAGAGATTTGGCTGGATGTTTTTATCAGTTTATTTTCACTAATGGTACATACAATTTTATTTTCTTTTATAAAGAAAAATTTTATATGAATTAAAACCCCTTAAAGTAAGAAATAATTTTTTATAATCAAAATTGCAGAAATAACACGATTTTGCACTTAGACTTTTATTTTATTGGCTTGTATTTTGAATTTTTTTAAAATAACATAGATCAATGTGTATTTTTGATGTTTAAAGTATATTTTTGATGTTTTAAGTATGTTTTTGAAGTAACAAGTTACTTTTATCGAAATGTTTGATATTTAAATATTTTTGAACACAAGTGGTTGTTTATAAAGTAAGGAAATGTAACTTTGTAATGTGTAATGGTTTTGAAGGTGAGAGATAAGTAAGTAAGGATTAGATTGAGAGATGATTTGGAGAAGTGGGTATATTGAGATAAAAGTGTCTGCAATCTAGCTGGATTTGGGTCTCCATTCATTTACATAGTTTTTGCTCCAAAATGCATATGTGCTATTGCCACTTTAAAAAGTTTGTGGTGAAATGTAAGATAGGAGTAAAATCAAGTAATACTAAATGTCAATGTTACGTACAAAACTTTCTCAAAATTGTAAACCTGAACCATCACTCTTTGTAAAACTACATAAAAAGCTTTGTAGAAAGGACAGACTTAAAGGGATTCTAAAAAGGTTTTCTAAAATTTTAATGTGTATTGGGGACACTTATCATTAATATGCACCATTTCAATTTTCAATCAGACGTCTGTGGTTTCTGCTATTCCACTAAAACTAAGTGTTTGATGACATCATTAACCGCAAAATGTGCCTTTCGTGATCAGTGAAGTCATCAATCACTTGATGCAGGAACCACAGACGTCTGATTAAAACTTGGAATGGTGCAAATTGATGCTATCAGTGTCACCGATACACACAAAATTTAGAAAACCCTTCAAATGTGTAGGAATGTCTCAAAATTTACCACCCCCTACTTCCCCCCCTAATTCTTTCAATGCATTCATTATTCATTTAATGGATTTTATTCAGAACTGAGGTGTAGGGCAGTAATTTAGGTCAACACTAATGGGAGTAGGGCAGTTAAACCAAATTCAAGCTTCTAGCACACTGATTCCAATATTTGGAATTTCTACATGAGTTGATTTGGTCTTATCAATGTGGTTTATCAGAAAAATTACACGGAAATTGAATAGTGTCTGTTAGTCCAGTTTTTAAGACATTCATTCCTTTTTAGATTGTATACAACTTTATGTCAAACAACAAGTAGGAAATAAAATCTGAAAAAAGAGAAAATATCAAATGAAATCGAAATACATGTTAGAAGTATAGGTTTTTAATAGGATAGCAATCAATCTTTCCCTTTATTTTTTTCTTCCATTCATTAATTCATTCATTCATTCATTCATTCATCAATGAAAAAGATTTCTCATAAATCATCTTTTCTTTTCCAGAACTTCATCTGTTCGTTTATTCTTTTATCCTCAAATTTATTCATTTTACCTTTCTCAATAATGTAAAGAATAATTGCTATGTCCATTCCAGATCTCAAGTGGATTAATCTATCGTGTGTCGGAAGCTAAGAGAAATTTTAATAAAGAAATGGAATTTGCACCCAGAATTTCACCAGAATTTGAAATGACACTAGACAATAAACCCAGTCTAAGAGCCATAGAAAATATGAACTTTTTCCAAATGAAAGGTGAGTTTGAATTTGGGTATTATACTATAAACGTCTATTGTCTTTCTGGAAAATAATTTAAGTATGAAAGTTCTGATAAATTGTTTTTTAATGACCTTGTCTGACCTTGACATTTTTTGTGTCAGTGACATTTTATTTTACCAGATGTCAGTTTCCATGACGTCTTGAGAACTTATCCTGGTTTCATCATTAGATTTTAAATTTTACTCATTTTACACGGAACCCTGGAAGGTTTTATTATCTCCCCTGAAGTTTGTTCTTTGTTTAAAACTGAGTAGCATAGAGACAGATTCAGATAAAATTGGTTCAAAGTTTGGTACTCAGGCCTACCCTGATAGGTTTATTTTCATCCTATTCTGCATTTAACGCTGAGGTGAACACAAACAGTTCTGCAGACTTGTCCATGATTTAGTTTGATTAGGTTTCAGTTTGATGATTAGTCTTACCTTGGTAGTTTTGGCATCTACCATGAAGAAGAATTAAAATTTTTTAGGCATAATGCCTCAGATGATTTGCCCATCTTTTCCTTTGGTTATTTTTGACCTTTCATGAAGTTTGTACAAAATGAATTTTACTGAAGTTTTAGAAATTGAAATGTACTTTGACTTGCGTGAAAATGGATAGCTTTCAAATTGTTCTTAATAATGTGATGCTACCATAAGCTTGTTAACCTTTTTTGGTTTAAGTTTCTCTAATTAAAGTGGAAAAAAATATTATTGATCAATTACTCCATTTTATTTCTTCAAAAGGTTTTGATAAACTATGTTAAATAGACTTTATTCCAAACTAGTTCTCAACAACAATTTGTTTCATTTTTTTACAAATTTATCTTATGCATTTGGTAAAAAATAACATGAAAATTAAAGAATAATTAAAAACAGAATTTGATCAAAATGAAGATGGTTGGGTCAATTAAAGATGAGGTTGTTTTAAATATATCAGTTGTCAGTTTAGTTAATAGTCGACTGTTTTGATTGGATCAACTCCAAAATCTTTATTTACACTAAACCATTATAAGATTAAAGTAGATGCGTTATAGAATGTCTAAATATTGTACATGGATCTAACATGACATGTTGAGTATTAAATCTTGTTGGAAACTGTCAGTTCAAATGTCACCATAATAAAACTTTTTTGTCTAATTTCAAATATTTTCCTCTTGTTTTTTTTGGCAATGAAAATATTCTGTTTTATTCAAGTAAAAATATATTTCTATTGTTATGCCATTCAATCTAAAATGTAAGATGCGAAACATTTTTTGTTTTTCTGTCACTGGTTCACCTGTCTATGATTTCTTGACATGACAGCTGATAACATTTCAGCCATCTGTTATGGAAAGAACAGAACTGAAAATTTTGTCATTTCGTCATTGAAAGAATGATTGTTACTTGATATTTTCATGTAGAAATACCTAAACTATTGGCCATATAATTACTCATGAAAATAATTTAAAACCAATAAAATTGGTTAGTTTTTTTTTAGTGTAATAGTAACAAACTTCATACTATGTGAACTCAATATTAACTCAAAATGGTCAAACTGTACAGAATCAACAGAAACCAATTTAAAAATCCTCAGACACCAAGTTGTAGGTGGATTTATTTAATATAAAATATTTTAACCAACATCTTTAATACTCAAACATTACAAAAACAAATTATTTTTACTCTTCTTCTTACAAATCGAGATTAGAATTCTACAGGGACTTACTTTACGTCTGTTTTCTTCTTCTATAAAGTTAACCATCCATTTTGATTCATCTTTTTACTTCACAGAAATCATTTTAAATCTCCAGTGACCAGTGGAAAACCTGGTTTGTGTTTTAATGTTTTTATTCAAGTTGTTATAACAACTGTTTTTAATCAGAGTAGCAACCAAACGATGATAAGTTCTTCTGATATCAAACTATGATAACATCTGATGAAAACCACCAATGTTGTTTTTATTAAGTAGTTAGTTATCTCCCTTGATTCTACGATTATTTTAATTTGATACTAAAAATAGATGGTTATCAGCCTCTTTCGGGCTCACTAAATTAGATTGATAGGTTGATTTCTCAAAAAAATGGTGATGCTTGTGTTACCTGGTAGTTCTTTTTCATGTCAATTTCTTGAGCCTTTGTCAAAACCTAGTCCCTCTCCTGAAACTGTGAACTATATTGGACCTATTTTGGATATGGATTGGTCAATAAAAGGGCTTGTCTGTTTTTGATAAAGCTAGGGTTTTGTGTTATTTAGTTAGCCTGATCTTCTGTTTTGCTGATATCAAATTTTCATGTCTTTTAGTGACATCTTTTCTGATTGTGATAGATTTGTGGTAAAATAGGTAATCCAGTCTCTCAAGAAACATCCCAGCTATCACAAAAATTACGATCTGCAGCGATTCCAATTCTAATTTTTGTTTCTATTTCTCTCTCCTCTATCAGATGGAATAATTGGTGAGTAATGATTCAAATTGTGTGGAAATTTATAAGTTGATTTTTATTAACATATTTTTAGAAGTGTGGCTGAATTTAAATATCATTGGTTCTCTTTTTGCCAATCTTTGTTTTTTGGAAATTTTATTGAATGATTTTTCTATTCTAACCTATTGTAGTGCTTGACTGTTTTTTTTTAAATTTTGACCCCACTGCTATGTTGCCAATTTTATATTTTTAGCAAATACAACTGTGGTTTTTGTTAGAATTGCTTACAAATTTGCAGTGTTGTGTGTATTAGCTTCATAGTGTTTTTTACTATTTTGTGTACATAGTGCAACATAATCCAACAGCATCCAGGTTTATTTTATTGACCATCATAAAGTTGTAAGTCATTTCAGTAGTGGCATAATGAACTGGAGCTAGTTACTTTAACAGTCCAATTGATCTGTCTTTGATATGATTTGAATCAGTCAGATGATATGATTCATGAAATATCTTGGCAATAGGATGTAAAACTCCATTTCAGCTATATTCTGTTGTAAATTTTAATAAACTTCTGTGCAAAGCAGGTCGAGGCAAGAATAAGTTGTCATTACACAAAAATTTTTACTGGACACTGCCCATCATTTTAATTTTCATGATATTTGTGTTTCAGCACCAGGAGAACCATATATTCTACCAGAAGAATGTAGTGCTGAGAATAACAGTGTCACTATTGTATGGCAGCCATTTTGTAATACAACTGTCGTAGAAGCCTATACTTTAGAATTAGATGATGGAAATGGTGGCGATTTTAGGGTAAGGTTTTAGCATGGTTTGATACACCCTAAATCTATTATGGTTTTTAAGATTTTAAAATTTGGTAGTTGATATTAAGCCATCAGCCAGTGAGAAAAAATTGGTGGCAGTGTCCCTATAATAAATTATATATTAAAAGTTACACAAGATAAAAATCAGAAAATCATCCTTACCAAAACTTCCTGTTATAAAATAGATGTTGATAAACATTATAAAAACATTAAAACTCCATTAAATTTGTTAGTTTAATAAATATGTTTAAATTATTATAAAGTTAAAAGTTTTCAGGTAAAAAATCTCGTTAACTATTTACACCTGTCTTTATTTCACCTGATTTTTACCTGACATTTTAATCCAGGCCTGGACTCCTTAGAGACCAAAAATTAATTTTATGAAGTAAAAAGTTATATACTCTTTTACAATTTCTGCAAGATTTCAATTTGTAGTTTAGAAATGGATTTTAAAGTACTTTTTGAATCAGTGAAAAAGAAAATTTTAAACTATGGAATAGGTAGTTTCTTTAGTAGAATAAATAAACTAAGTACTAACAATGTTTTCAAGAAATTTCTTATGAAATGTGTCCAAGAAGTCCAAATAAATGAAAACAAAAAAAAAATAAAGCTAACATTGTTACAGACAAATTGTTGAATCCAAAAAACTGTAGAATCACTTAAAGTAATGTGATAAAACTCTAACTTGAGCATGAAGAAAAATAATCAGAATGGTGCCAGTCAGTCTGTCAGACTTGCAGACTTCCACAATCTCAATTCCTGATTTTAGTCTTTCTCTTCTAAACAATAGAATTACTCTTCAAGCTTCGTTTAACTAAACACTAAAAAATTATCTTAACTCTTTCTTTGAAAAATTTTTATGTATTTTGGCAGGAAATTTATTTTTCTGAAATTTTGAAATACCAGTACATAAGTTTTGTTTGTAAATATTGAGTTTAAAAAGTTTATTCCTGAAACTTTGGTCAAACCATCATTTTAATAGATACTTAAAATAGAAATGAATGAGGGTGTTTTGAGGAATTCTTATATATTGGAATTCATACAAAGTGCATCAAGATCTTTAAGACTCAGAATAATCAGTGTCTTGAGAGTTCACATAGCTTATAAAGTTCATTTCATTCACCAATATATAAATATGTCCCCTACCTTTCCAATGTTACCTTGTTACCTGTCTTTGATGTAATCTGAAGATTGGCATTCAAAATCTACATAGATTGTTAAGCCTATTACAAATATCATTTTTCACTATTTTATTCCAGGTAGTATATGTGGGAAGAGAAACTATTTGTACTGTGGATGGACTTCATTTTAACAGTATTTACAATGCCAGGGTTAAAGGTCACAATCATGCTGGAGAGAGTCCATACAGTGAAATTGTCTCACTACAAACTGCTGAAGGTGGGTGTCTTTACAGATTATTATAACAGATCAAGGGCAGTTACTCTAAAACAAAAACAAAAACTTTAGATCTGCTTTTCATACAATTGAGAGGGGCATCTTAGAGCTTCAAGTCTTTTTTGATCATGAAAACAAGGAAATTGAAACAAGTAGACTTTGGTAAAGCTTTTTTTCTGCCATTGTTGTGAGTTTTCCCTGTTTACAAAAGGAATTCAAATTGTTTTGTTTCATAGTAATATGTTGTGTTCTGAGATTTTAACACCCAATTTAAGGTTGTGTTTTTATTGTCTATTTATTGTCATGTTTGACCAAGATGAAGTTTTATTGAATCTAGACGACGTCTTGTCTCTAATATTCAGCTTTGTGTCACACTATGTCTCGTTAATTTGACATGATGGCGCCATAAGCTCCCCGAACAATGACCACTTTAATTTATTCTGGTAATCAGGAAATCTTTTCAGGAAAATTAATCTCAGTTTAAAAGTGGAAGAAGCCATTTTAATTGTAATATTGGAAATTTGTAATTAAAGTTTTCGTTTGCTGTCTTTGTATCTAAATAGTGATAATAGCTTTCTTTAAACTTATCGTAACAGTCTTTAATTGTCTTGGAGCAGAAAAAAAGGAAGTAAAACTCTCACCTCATTTCTATTTAATTATTTAAAGAAAGTTTGTAATTTACACAAGATGGTGACACACTTAAAGAGAATTCTGTTTGGAAAAGATTCAGAATGCTCCTATAAAGTGGCTTGATTTACATTTGATCCTGTAAGTTACAGGCTGTAACCACACATCAAGATATAATATTGTATTATTTTATATTTTCTTGTGGCTTGGTTTACATTTGATCCTGTAACCACACATCAAGATATAATATTGTATTATTTTATATTTTCTAGTGGCTTGGTTTACATTTGATCCTGTAACCACACATCAAGATATAATATTGTATTATTTCATATTTTTTAGTGGCTTGGTTTACATTTGATCCTGTAACCACACATCAAGATATAATATTTGCCAACAATAATCAAAGTATAACGTGTAATAGTTTTGATCATCGAGTGGCTCTGGGAAATGTGGGTTTTTCTAAAGGTGTTCATTACTGGGAGATTAGAATTGATCGTTATGACAGTCATACAGATCCTTCTATTGGTATAGCTAGATTTGATGTAGATAAAAACACTATGTTAGGTGAGTATTTGTATATTAAGTTGACACTTGACCTCTCACTCTTTTTATGTGAGTTTGCTTTCAGTTTTTTGGATCCCACTGTCTTTTCTCAGTCTGTTCAATTAAATCCTATTTGATGGAATCTTTTTAACATGCTCATATCAACAGTTATGATTGATACTGTGTATAGCCAACTTATCTGTGCCCACCTTTAATTTTCAGGTAAAGATGACAAGGCGTGGAGTATGTATATTGATAATCAGAGAAGTTGGTTTATAAATCATGATGAACATACAAATCGTACTGACGGAGGAATTCAACCCAGTGATACGATTGGTCTATTACTTGATCTCAACCATCATACTCTCAGTTACTTTATAAACGACCATCCTCATGGACCAATAGCATTCACCGATTTACACGGAGTTTTTTTCCCAGCAGTCAGTATCAATCGTAATGTACAAGTGACTTTACGATCTGGACTAGAACCTCCAGTTGATAGTGAGGTTGGTGAGAGTGACGTAGATTAGTGTTTCTATTTATAGATTATCTATTTTCTTTATTTATTCTCTTTACAAATAATAAACTTCATAAATGAAAGTTGATTTAGTTTTTACATTTTCCTATATGAAGTTCAATTGGTATGTCCTCTGACAAGTGCCCCAGACTTAAATGCTCTTTCAGGTAATGAAATTCCCAATGCCATTCTAAGTGCTTTCAAATGTCATTTTGTTGTCAGATTTCTCCTCCAACCTCCCTGGAAAATGGAATTGGAAATGATAAGTGGCCAATGTAAACCAAAACTCATATTTTTGGGCGTGGTAATTGGAATAATGCTAATAGAAGCTAGATATTGCATTTATGCAAGATGTCTATAAAAATAGGTTAGAAGACCATTATGCATGTGCCCCTTTACCTGTCCACTTCGCTCATAAGTCCTTATATGGAAACACCAACCGTTGTTCTAAACGCCAGTGCCAGTGAATTGTATGCGCGTTATTCACAGGTGCGTGGTTTACTTGGGTATATACAGTATCACGAGTAACACGACAGTGACACTGTAATAAAAGTTAACAAAGTTCAAGAGCAGGTGCCCTATATTAGAGAGAGATCTCACATCAAGAATAAACAACTAACTGGAAAGCAAAACACAATTACAGACCGAATTCAATTCTCCAACTGTTCACTTTGTTATGGAAAGGAACCTTTGATTTTCGATTAAGGCACAGTTTCCCAATTACTTGTTAACTTATTTTATAGAAATAATTTTGGCAACAGTGGGGCGCAAGTCCCAAAGTCTATTTCATTAGCCCAATAAGGTTCCGAACGTTTGAACTTTTCCTTTCATAAGGTAATCGAGACTCTATAGAAAAACTAGTATGGCCTTCAAATTTATTTGTTGCATTAGATTATCTTGGGATGTAAAACTCCACTATATCCAAAGGTGTGTCGTCATTTCTACCACAGAAAACCATTGTCCCAGACACAGATCTTATAGCCATTTGGTATCGATATTTCGCAAGCCTTTGTCATGCAAAGGAGGTATTTATGTTTTACTTGACAGATGACCGTTGCTCCTTAAGGTGTTAAACTACTAGTATTATTAAACAGAACAGAGATGGCATTACCCTATTATGGTTTAAAAAGACGAAATACTCCATTATTTGTCCAAAAACAACCCCGAGAGACATAAATCTCCCTTTTATTTGGATACCCCCAATGACTATTTGAGCATGATATTTTGTTAAATTCTCTGACCTCTGTATCTTCATCTCAAACTTTCCCAGATGAAGTTTCCATGTCAATATTTATTCAGTTCCTCTATTAACATCTCAATTACTGCTGGAATTTCAATCGTTTCCACATGACTTCTTATATCACATATATTTCTCAAGATAACATTGCAGTCGACCTTGCTGAGGTTGCTGCGCCACAGTTTGGTTGAGAAAGTGGATGGGGTGGATGCCGAAAGTACGGAGCCCCTAAGGCGCAATTGTAAACATATTTATCTATTATTTCGTTTAAACGAAATAATTATTTCGTTTAAACGAAATAATTAATTCGTTTAAACGAAATATCATCATTTATTTCGTTTAAACGAAATAATTAATTCGTTTACTCGAAATAATAAATAACAATTGCGCCTTAGGGGCTCCGTACGAAGGTCCACAAAGCTGCACTTTGTGGGAAGGGAGGAGTTACAGGATGGAAGGTGGTCAGAACGCAACGGTGTTGCAGCATACAATATGTTAGATTATTTTCGATGTTGTTTTATTTGTTTGACGGATTTCTCTTTCACCAGTGATTTATTTTATTATGCATGTGGGAATATAATTGAAGTTTCAAATTAAGTATCATTTTCCACAACAAAATGCTATAATAATATTGACTGAACCTGTGTCAAGTTGTCTCACTGGACCTCGCTCGAACAACAGGTGTTTAGTGGTGTTTGTCTTAGAATTAACTTCCCATTCTACCCCCTTTGAGATTTACCGTATTTTGACACATTTAGAATCAAATTTCAAGTTTTCAAAAGGGTTTGTTTTGATTTGGATGAATTAAGCGTTGAATTATGAATGAAGCAAGATTTTCTCTCTAAACCTTTCTGACCGCTTGATGCTGATTGTACCATGAACAGTCGAAGAACTCTGCCAACAAGACTCAGAAAGCTGACATTGTACCATGTAGATGGTCTTTGAGTCTAATTGTGGACGTAATCGTGTCACAAAATTTCTGTAAATAATAACACTGCGAGTTTTTCCCAAACAAAGTTTGAATTTCAATAATCCAATAATTTCTGATATCCGTTGTTTCAAATGAAATAGTTCCCTAACGATTTAGTGCGGATGGGTTCGAATTTCTTTAAAGCCATAAAAACACCATCATGCTTGAATGTCAAGTGGTATATTTTTTTTTTGTATTTTCATTCAACAAATTTTCTGTTTTTATTTTCAAGACAAGCTGAGGCAGGTCGTAAGAGAGAGAATTTCAACGTGTGATTTTTATCAGACGTGCCAGAAAAATAAATCTTAACGTGTTGAAACTTTGTGTATTTAAGTTCGGAACTGAACCATAAAATGTCAAATAATTCACCCGAAAAACTGGTTCCAGCTGAAGTAAAAGAAAAAAGTCGACAAAAACTCATAAAAAATGTTAAGAATACCAAAATTATCTTACTTTGGAATCGGCCTGTCTTGAGAGCATGTCTTAAACGATTGGTATCTTTATTGTGGAAAATCAAAGTAGAAAACCTTGAAGGTTGTTCCAGGCGCTAATCTAAATCCAGAACGAATGACACCAACTTCAGCCATATTCAGGTATAAAAATATTTACCTGTAAGTATAAGAGTAATATTCAGTCACGTCTAACATTAAAATTTCCCGAACACAGTTGGCTAAAGATATAAAATCCATTTCATTAGTTCATAAGGGTATTTAACGTTGCAAAATAGGTCCAAGATTTACAACTCAATTTCATTCCATTAGCCCAATACAAGGTAGGCGTACAGAACAATTGGGTGTATAACTTTATTTCCACAAAATGATACAGCAGACGTAAAACTCCACTTCAATGGGCCATTTAAGGACAAAAAAAGATAAAGTTATTATTATTATTATACATTGTAGTCTGTATTTTCTTTATCTTTTTGGTGCATCTGAAGACACCATCGAGTAAAGGAACCTTTACGGAACATCGAGTACAAACTAATAAATAATTTTTAAACGACAAATCTGGGGTATGTGAAAGACTAGAATGAAAAAGACGAAATAAAGACAGCGGCAAATTAAGATAAGATCAGGAGTTTCTGATGCTAATAGAGATAGAAACTCGACAAGCATCTTCCCTTCGTCAAGGTATGTTATAAGCAACTTAAATCGCGCAAAGATGATCGAATCCAATGACTGGGGATAATGCTTCAAAACACGTAGACTATCAGAATGACAGACATGTTCTGGTAAAAAAATATTATCTCCGTCAAATTTTACCCATTTTCAAAATTCCTGCTGTAACAGACCGTAAACAAAACGTCGGTATTGAAGATTTGAGTCACTTGAAAATCATTAGCGATAACATTAGGGCTTCTGTCAACAAACTTTAAGACTAACCTTTATTAGTCGGTATAGCTATGATCTATTTGGCTCCTGCCAGACAACCAAAATATTTCAGTAACATTCTTTTTTTAAATAGCTTTTCATGGGGTGCTGTGCTGTTTCATATCAAAACAGGCGCCTCAAATCTGTAAATTTGTTCCCACTTGTTCGAAATTTTTCATGAGAGATCTCAACAGCATGTATTTGATATGAGATTTATCCCACATTTCCAGGTATATAGCTGTTTGGATTTGAACTAATCAAAAGAGAAAAAATAGAAAAATAAGCAAAAACATGTTATATTCTTTAACGTGACATGACTTTGAATTTGTAGATCGACGAAAACTTTTGATTTAATAAAATTAACATCTATGGTCCTATGAATAAAAACTAAAAATCCCATATATTAAAAAGTGTATACGACAACAACACTGAAGGTGTAAACAAAATAGGTCCGGTGTGCGGTCCAGTGTTGGATTTTCTAAACAATAGAAAAAAAAGAGGGGTCCCGACACGATTCCAGACGTCGTATGGTATTCGATTGTTCTATTTTTAAATTGTATCAACCATTCCTCTCCGGACCGGACACTATACCTCTTCTATTTGCACTTTTACATATATTTTCCCTAATTAAATAATCTATAGAATAAGGTTCTAGATCAATTTTACCCCCACCCCTCTGACGATTTTGACTAGTCGATATTAAAATAAGTATTATTATATACCTGTTTTACATGAACCGTAATCTTATTTGTTCTTATTCAAATCTACCATATCAAAATGATTGATTTTACTGCAATCGATGACAGAAGGTGACAGGGGTTTATTAAAAAATATAGCATTTCCAAGGAATCGATGAACCCCTACTGACAACTGTTACAATTCATATGAAATTATCGTGTTCAACTAGTTAGCAGATGTGTGCGACATATGAGATTTGTTCGTTTTCGACCACCGAGATCGACAATATTTTCACTTAAAGCTTAATGCTGCTCCCATGGAACTCTTTTTGTGTACGCATCCGTGAGCTCCTTGTGATAATAAACGTCATTCGCTGGGAAATCTGACTCATTTTCAACTCCTAATTGGCGAAGATCTTTATCGCCACAAAATTGAGCACATAGATATTCAGTTCTGCATCTCATAATTCGATGGACGACCTTTCTGTGCTTTCCCAAACTATCAACTTTGAGAGAATATCCTGGTGGAAACATCAGATCACCTATACTGGTATCGTTTTCGTTTGGAGATTTAGCGCTTACAGACTATCACGAAGTCAAGTACCAGACCAAAAAGTATTTTCTCTGATAACAAATGATAAGAATTCAAATATGTTTACTTGGTCAGTTCCAAGACGTACTAAGTGAACGTATCTACAATGATAGTGGACAATCATTGATTGGTTCAATCTACATAAAAATACCATACAGATTACATTCTTTACATATAAATCACAAGGAGATCGAAAATCTAAACATAAAAACCCGAAGTTAGAGGTCTATAACA